TGTGTGTGTCTCAGCACTAACCTCCGGGCCTGCCCCGTCTCTGGTCTCCCCCACAGCTGCCATCGCACCCAAGGACTACGTGTTCTATGGCTTCCTGAAGCCCTGGCTGGGTGAGTGCGCTTTCTTCTGGGCTTGGATCTGTTGTGCTTAGTGTCATGGAGCCCGGACCCCAGGGGACGGCCTTGTGGGGAAAGGAGGGTGTGACATTCCCCTCTGGTGTTATCCGGACTGGTGATCTGCTAGGTCACTCCAATCCTCGACTCTGGGAGCCAGCCTTACCCTGCTCTACTGTGAGAACCCCCACTCCTGGGCTGTTCACGCACAGCCTCTGGCGTGTAACTGCTCCTTGGACTGTGCAACTGAATGACACTAGCCAGTATCTCTGGTTCCAGACACAAACCTAGGAACCTCTGTCTTGCAGTGTCCAATTATGCCTGCTGGATGCTGCAAGCTTATATAAGTTCATCAATTTAATAAAGAAATTGATATGTACCAGGCTTGTTCTCCCAAGGGGAGTCTCTGACACGCTTCAGACCAAACGCACTGCTTCAGGTAGAATAAACAAACAGATTTATTAACTACAAAGATAGATTTTAAGTGATTTATAAGTCAAAGCAAAACAAGTCGGATTTGGTCCAATGAAATAAAAGCAAAACACATTCTAAGCTGATCTTAGCACTTTTAATGCCCTTACAAACTTACATACTCTCACCACAGGCTGGCTGGTTGCCCTTTCAGCCAGGCTCTCCCCTTTGATCAGTGCTTCAGTCACTTGGTGGTGGTATCTGTAGATGGAGGTGGACGAGAGAGGAAAAGCATGGCAAACATCTCTCCCTTTTATCACGTTGTTTCTTCCCTCTTGGCTATGCTGTGTCCCCCCCCCTCGGGGTCAGATGAGCATTACCTCATCGCAGTCCCTGACTGACCAAGGGAAGGGGGGTGACTCACCAAAGTTCCCTCACCAAAGGCTTGTAAGCAAAGTAAGCTGTCATGGGATAAGAGGGAAGGTCCTTTCTGGATCAGTAACTGGCTAAAAGACAGGAAACAAAGGGTAGGAATAAATGGTCAGTTTTCAGAATGGAGAGAGGTAAATAGTGGTGTCCCCCAGGGGACCAGTGCTATTCAACATATTCATAAATGATCTGGAAAAGGGGGTAAACAGGTGACAAAATTTGCAGATGATACAAAACTGCTCAAGATAAGTCCAAAGCCGACTGCAAAGAGTTTCAAAGGGATCTCTCCAAACTGGGTGACTGGGCAACAAAATGGCAGATGAAATTCAATGCTGATAAATGCCAAGTAACGCACATTGGAAAACATAATCCCAACTATACATACAAATGGATGGGGCCTAAATTAGCTGTTACCACTCAAGAAAGAGATCTTGGCGTCATTGTGGATAGTTCTCTGAAAACATCCACTCAATGTGCAGCGGCAGTCAAAGAAGTGAACAGAATGTTGGGAACCCTTAGAAAAGGGATAGATAATAAGACAGAAAATATCATATTGTCTCTATATAAATCCATGGTACACCCACATCTTGAATCCTGCGTGCAGGTGTGGTTGCCCCATCTCAAAAAAGATATACTGGAATTGGAAAAGGTTCATAAAAGGGCAACAAAAATTACTAGGGGTTTGGAACAGCTTCCGTATGAGGAAAGATTAAAAAGACTGGGAGTTTTCAGCTTGGAAAAGAGACGACTAAGGGGGTATGGCCACTGTCGGCAGACAGGACACGGGGCTGGATGGACCATTGGGCTGACCCAGTCTGTCCATTCTTATGTCGGTGTGGAGCTGGAGCTACTCATGCCAGAGCCGTGAGCACCAGCACATGGGTGTGCACCATGCACCTCTCTGCACATACCACCACGCACCTGCACATACACACACGCATGCACCTGCATGTTCATGCCCACATGTGCCCCACAAACACACACACATATTTCACTCATACCCCCACCCACACTCCTTGCACGCATTGCACACACAAGCACACACTCTCGTGCCTGCCTGACATGCACCAGGGAGGTTGGTTCTCGCTGAGCACCCCAGCTGGCTATGATTCAGGGGACTACTGGGGGCCTGGGCTACGGGATCTCTGCCATGGCTGCCAGGCTCTGAACTGAGTGCCTGTCATCTCAGGGGACGGTTTGCTGCTGAGTAATGGTGCGAAATGGGTGCGGCACCGGCGCATGCTGACACCAGCCTTCCACTTCGACATCCTGAAGCCCTACATGAAGATCTTCAACCAGAGCACTGACATCATGCATGTGAGTACTCCCCCTCCCCCCACGGCACCAAATCCATGCCTGTGCCTCTGGCCCCTCCCATGGCATATACTGCCCTGGCACCCGCCAGCCTGCCCATGTACCCTCCCCCCATAGCACACACTGCCCTGGCACCCTGCCACCCCCCAGCCTGCCCAGGACCCTCCCCACACGGCACACACTGCCCTGTCACCTGCCACCCCCAGCCTGCCCGTGACCCTCCCCCCACGGCACACGCTGCACTAGTGCCCTCCTCCCATGGCATATGCTGCACCAGCACCCTGCCCTCACCCCTGCCTCCCCCACACCCTATGGAATATGCTGCACCATCACTACGCTGTGCCCCTGGCCCTGCACCTCCCCCCCCAGGGCATATACTGCACCGATACCCTGCCCACTGATCTTGCACCTGCCCCCACCGCATGCCCAGCCCTTTCACTACACCAGTCCACTAGCCTCCTCCCCTGTCTGCTTGCCTGTCTCTGACGCTGGCCCACCCGCATTGCGTGGGCACTGGGCTCTGCAGGGCTGTCCCTGCGGGTGGCTGTGCGGCTCTCACGGGCACTGTTCTCCCACAGGTCAAGTGGCGCCGGCTGGTGGCGTCAGGCTCCACCTCCCTGGACATGTTTGGACAGGTCAGCCTCATGACCCTGGACAGTCTGCAGAAATGCGTCTTCAGCTACAACAGCAACTGCCAGGAGTGAGTGACACGGGGGCAGCTCCCCCAGCAGGGGGGCAGTTCCCCCAGCTGACCCGAGGGTGGGAGCCCCCTCATGGGGAGAGGTCAGAGTGGGGAGAATGGGCTGCAGGATCCCTCCCTTCCTGGCCTGGCCCCAGTGAGCCCATCCGGATTCACGGAATGGGTCCCTGAACTGGAGATCCCAGGGTGGGGAGGGTGTTACTGCAGGCCTGGGCAGGGACTCTCCAGTGGGGTGTCTGGAGGTGTTGCGGGGCGGGGGGGTCAGCATGGCTGTGCTGTGCTTCTCTTGGGGGATGATCCTGCTGCCGCATGCATCTCGCTGCCAGGAAGCTCCTCACCTCAGTCCCGTCCCCCCAGAACCCTCCTGCCCCCAGTTTATACATGTACTGCAGGGCCCTCGTCTGCAGCTTGTATCTGTTTTACTGCACTGGTGCACGTTGACTCCCTGTCATGGGACACTGCCAGCTGGCTGCGGTTCGTGCTGGTGCAGGCTGGCCCCGGGCTGGCTGTGGGACGTGCCG